TTGTACATTGAAACTGAATATTAGGTCGTCAAAAGAATATATTATATGTATTTTATTGAAGCGATAACAAATTATCTTTGTAATATTATATTACACGGCATTTTGTACAATGGTATCAGTAACTTAATTAAAAATTTTACAACAAAGCGATATATTTTCCTTCGCAATAATTTTTTCAATTTTTAGATAATTGCTCATTATTTACGCTCCGTTATGGATTTTCTGCCGCGTAAAGTGCATGTGAGTTGGTAAAGTTGGTTAAACAAGCGCGTTAAAAAATAGATAAAAAAACATTACGTTGTATGTACAGAAATACAGAAATGAGGAAAATACCTTGCCTGCTGAACCGCGCCGGGTGGCCGGACGGGATATTATTTTTCGGGACGTCTTCTTAAATAAGTCGCTCGGCAGGATATACTCTGTTAGACTCGGTCCCTCACATACCGTTTCTTTAAATCTAACATCGGTGTAATCGAGACTAACGCCGCCCTGTAAATTATTGAATCTCACGAGGAGGATATCGAATATCCGCGTGTACGCCGATGCGGAAGAATTGCAAATAAATGAGGCATGAATAGGGAAAGTGCACGTTCTAGTATACGTTTCCGCGGCGCCTCCATATTGTAAGAGCCAGGACCCGGGAACTTATGCGCGTCTTTTGGTATGCCGAGTGTCTGCCTGCCGGCTCCGCTCAAAAATGGATAAGCGCTGTCTGTGGAACGTACTCTGTGTTACGTAATGGCATACGCGGCGCGTGCGAATACGAGTTTCGCCGTGGAGGAACTCGCGAGGTGCTTGTGCATCGTGAGTTACCCGGATCTCGAGGCGGCTTTGACGGATCCGATACGTCGTAAGTCCCCGGGCCAACCCGGACGGTGGTCGACGCGGCTGCTTCCACGAATCTCCTTGTCCTGTCAAACGCCATGCCTCGGCCCTCGTGCTCGCGATTGAGAAAGGAGAATGTTTAAAGCATACGCGATTTATAACCTGAACGGAATGTGAATCCACGTTTGAGAACATATCGCGATCGTGAAACAACATAAGGCGGTATTCATAGTCCGTCTTGAATCCGATCTCGCGGACAGTCCTAAGATTTTATCCGAGCGATCAAGTGATCGTAGAAAATCTCGAGGTCGTATTTTTACCATGTAAGTATGTACATTTTTTCCTAATACACACTTGAGAAAGGAGAGACGGTAGGAAACGGAATCTCTGAAAGAAATTTATTGCGCTTCGATGAAACGCAAGTCCCAATCTTGTTTTCTGTTTCAATCGAGCGCCGAACGATTTGAATTGAACTATGTAACTCCGACTCGCCTCAGAATTCACAGTTATTTTAACGATATTAATATTCTTGTTAACGTTAAGTCTTGCCAAGAGATCGCGGCGTTCAAAAATTTCCCGCGAAATGGGCGCGCGAAATTAAATAATCACGTGACTGATAATTCGATACCTATGTCGACCTACTGGAGCTCTATTCTGTATTCGGCTACCGGCAACAATCGATATCGTTAATAACGTTCGCGCAGCTTTCTTTACATGGTAGAAAAGCCGAGTACAGAATAGAGTCCCTGGTCGGTTTTAACGTCGTTCTTCGTCCGTGCATAGTGGAGATGCGATCGGTCCGCGTTTTCACCGTCTTTTTACTCCGTTCCGACCAAGTTTCGCGTACAAAGACAGTATTCGGGATACCGGATTCGAAACCCGAACATATAACGAAAAAACTTAAGCAGTAAGGCTTAAGACTTAAGGGAAGTAAACAATGATAGTCGAGAACGTAAGCAGCCATTTTAAATCAAACAACCCTTGGGATTTACTTTAAATATAAATTAAAGTTTTTAAAAGTAACCTTTCAAACCTAGGAGTTCACTTAAAGAAGTCAAAAGTTTACCTAAGAAATTTTAGAGTATTTTTTAGATAGCCAAGCCTGTCCAAGTTCTCGCTAGAGGGCCGCATGGCATAGCACTTTCTCGTAAGAAGACAACCGCACGCGGTATTATAAATTATATCACATACTTTTCACAATTCTTAAAGTTTTCTTTTAAATTCTTAAAGTGAGTCTTACGTTTACTTTAAATACAAGTTTAAAGTGTCCACATTTACTTTTCATATTTCTTGATTTTCTAAAGTAAAATTTCAAGGTTGTCTAAGGTATATTTTCCCAAGGGAATGCTAAAAATTCCGATTGGTTGAAATTCTTAAGTCTTACGGCTTAAGTTTTTTCGTGTATTTCCAGATTTCGGAGCGAATGCCACAGACGAAGGATTCTCGACCAAATCCGTGAGCGATCCGTTCATAAGTAAAGTGTTTGTGATATCGCGTGAGTGCGAAAGTGCAAGAGCGATTGCGAGCGCGAAAGTGTTTGCGCATGTATATTAAACGGATTAATCGGGAGGCGGATCGATCGGGCGCGTTCAGCTGCCGGGTGAGTCTTCGCATGCTATTTTTTTCGTTCGACTACTTCTTGGATTTCCCCATCGCATGTCGCTCCGCCGTACCGTTTCCCCGAATTGTCCCGGAATTGTCGGCGGAGACCGCGTCGTGCCCCCCTCCCCCCCCCCACCCTCTTTCCAGCCCGTCTTCCTTCCAGCCCCTCATCGCTCGAACGTTCGGGCGATGTTGAGGTAGAAACACCTGCGTCGCCCTTTATCTGATTTCGGTGAAGTGATCGGCACGAAAAATACCGTAACGTCCGTGGGCTTGTAAGTTTGAAAGTGTTTTTAGCGATAAATAAATATTTAATTGATCCCAGTAACTACTGAACTCACAGTTGAACAACATCAATGTTGTAGTTCCTCAACTTTTTATGTAAACAATGTAAACCTTACAAATCAGATGTCAGAATGCAAAAAAGAGTAATTATATTTGATATTATAAAATAGTTCATATATCTGACGTATATGTGTGGCTTTCGGTATCAATTAAAAAGATGTTTATAATGTTAAAACTTGAGAAGTTACGTTGGCACTTCGGTTAAATAAAAGCAGACACACAATGTGCTTTCACCATGTCCTCATTAAAACGACACTCGTAAAAATGTAATTAATTACACGCGGAAGAGGACAGAAAACAGGGAATAATAACATGATTACGATGATTTCTGAAACAGAGATGACGCCTGGTATAGTAAAGTCATTATTTCAAACGGCAGCGTAATAGTTTAATTAAATTACGAAGCGTGGTAATTTAATTAAGCTAGAATTTAATTTTAGAGCATCAAGTGGAGTGCAACGAGATTGATTAAGTTTAACGATGAGTTTTTTTACTGTGTTTTTTATGTATGAATACGGTCAAATTTGTATAAAATTCCGACATCGGAATTTATACAAATTTTACTGATAATTATTATGCATAGATTATGTAATGAATGATCATCCATTGACGTGGATGTGAAAGTCGGTAATATTTACGACATAATGCGCACCATAAAAATCACGCGTAGCTTAACAGTAGAAACGATAAAAAGTTTATGCGAATAAAAACAATAAAAATGATAAAATTTTATGTTGAATGAAATACTCTCACAATACGATAAAATTTTTCTGAACTGAAACAATCTTGTGAAAAATGCACGAAAGCATTTAGGAACCAGAGTTGTGCCGTAAATTTCACGATTACACATAGATTGTTCACGTAACTATTTTCGTAAACCATTTGTTTTCGTATGTAAACAAACTGAATAGTGTAAATTAAAAATTGGATGATACAATCTCTTAGGATGTAGAATAAATTTTCCGATTGTTAATATTTGAGTATTAATATTAAAAATATTTTCAATGTTAAAATTTAAAAAGTCAATAATGATGTATTCACGAAAGAGTTTTATTATATTACAGATTTATAATAAAAATGTTAAAAAATCTTTATTAATTTTTCGTCGCGTCCTCAATTGTACTTGAACTAGCAACTGAAAATAATACAAACAAAATAAAAATTCCTGGTATTCGACTGAAAAAATATGAATCTTCGAGCCAGGGTTGGCATTTAATTGTAAACTGTTAGACCCGTATTCTGAATCCTCTTGTAGCCAATTAGAAGACTTCTTAGTCACTTTTAGAGGCGCTTTATCGATAAAAGAGGGTTCAGAAGATGGGCCCAATTATCTGCGTCGACGCGTAAACTATGTGTAGCGTGTCATCTATGTCAACAATGCGTAATCTATGGAAAATGAAGCTTTGTCAAAGTTGAAGACTTTCTTTATCCTTTATTTCTTATACAGTTAGTAACGATTATAATGTTCATATTTGCATGCTTCAAACAAAGCTTTTATTATAATGCCATTATTGCACACAAATAATAACTTCTTAATTTGAAACATTATAAATATCTTCTTAATTGATACTCAAATCACACATACATCAGACACATTAATTATTTTATGAATATATAAAATATAATCTCTCCTTTTTGCACTCTGATGTCTAACTTATTAAGGTGCACCTTACAATATATTGTTTACGTGAAAAAAGTTTATGTAAACAATGCAGACGTTTTGAACCCAGTGAGAAATGATTCGTCGATCGACGTCGAAATGATGTCGAATCGACGTCAATTCGACGGTCGTTTCGACGTCGATCGACGAATCATTTCTCACTGGGAAGTTTACGACACAACCCTGCTTCGAACATGAATCTTTTATGATTCACAGCTTACTCATTGTTTACACAAACTATAGTATACATTATATTTTACGAAAAAACGCGCCAAACCCTGGTAAGAACGCTTAAACGTTTAGCAACGAACGTTAAATCGAGGCCCATGCAGTTATCTTTAGAATTATCACTTACAATTATCTTATTTATTGAATATAGATATATTCAAGTATTATCTCCTACAATTTTTGTTACTCAGGATACGTTTAAGAATTGCTTCTTGAAATTATTTAAAAAAAAGTAATTTAAAAAGCTTATCAACAGTCGGTAACTGGCTCGAAACTGTCTCTGTCGTTCCGTCGTCAGAGTACGTCACCAGTATCGTTCTGTTGGTCGCGTTATCTCGATCCAGTCGATATTCTAGGTGTTTCCTCGCGGAAACGTGGTGACTAGCAACAAAGCCCCGCGTTACCGTTGCCACGCTCGGCGGTACCGAGTTCTTGACGTGACGATTATCACAGGTCTTTTTCTCGCAAAATAAATTGTGACAGGTGCGAAAATTGCGGAGCGATGACGAAGACCGAGGACGAATTTGACGGAATGTTGCTGGCGTTGGCACAGCAGCACGAAGGCGGTGTACAGGACGTGAGTATCCTTTCCTCCAAGTTGAGGTTAACTCAACTTGTCGCGCGATAAACTTCTCGCGTTTCGCGAGCGTATTTCCTATCGGCGAACGTTTCACTCCTTTCTTTTCAGTTGCTGGACACCTTCTTCAGTTTCTTGGCGAGAAAAACAGACTTTTACACCGGCGGCGGCGAGGGGGCAGCTGAGAAGGTATGTGTTTGTGTTAAATTGTCATTCTAGAGAGTTCCACGTTTACCAAATTTGTTTTTCTATGTACAGCTTGTTATGAGCAAGTTTAAGAAATATGAGGCCGGCGCTCTAGCCAAGGCTGCCTCTGATAAAGCAGAAAGAGTGGAGCAAGAGAGAAGGCGTAAGGAGAGACTCGAGAAGAAGAGGAAAGAGGAACAAGTGGAGGAAGAGAAAATAGACAACGACTCCAGAATAGTTGAATTAACCGACGAACAGGCTGTTAAATTGCAAGAAGAAATAGAGAGCAAGGTATCTACGTAGTGAAATAATTTATTGCAATTTCTGTTCTACTTATTGGTCTTCTTCAAGATACTGAAAGCATTGCACAAATACGATGATACTCAATTAGATGAATTTTTTTGTTGCACAGAAATTGGCGAATGACGCTGCTGTCGCAGGCTCCAGCAGCGATCGTAGCGACAGTGCTAAGAGTAAAGAAGGTGAAAATGCCGAGTCGAAGAATTCCCCCGCATCCGATGAGGAAGAGGAGGATGAGAAGGAGAAAAACAAGTTGAAGCCTAACAGCGGTAACGGCGCGAACATGCCAAATTACAGATGGACGCAAACTCTTGGAGAAGTGGAGGTAAGTGCTTTGTTTTATATTTCGTGCACATACGGTTAACACACATGTGGCGCCGAAACATCTTGTCGGGGAAAATTTAGGATTTAAAAAAATTTATCGATACATTTTTCAAAATACTTTTTAATAATTAATTTTTTATTATATTCTTCGTGCTTAAGCATCAAGCAATTTAGTAAATTAGTATGGCTCATATGTGTTAAACACCAATTTCAAAGAATTTAAAGGACTCAGAACCGTGACAGGGTGGCAGTGTCTAAATATTCTTTTCTAAGTTTATTGCGAAAAAATATCACCTCGGCCAGGGTATGAACCTGGACCTCCCTCTCGCTAGGCGGGCGTCTCAACCAATTCGACCACCGAGGCACATGGCAATACTTATCGCAATACAGTCTAATGTTGATTCCCGAGTGCCACCTATCGTGACAGTATTCGAGATCGAAGCAATTTAGCTTTTAATTTATTCAGCGGTTGAGATATAATTGAAAATATATATCGAGATAAACAAATGTCGGGTTTGTGGCAAATAAATAACAAAGTTAGGATAAGCAATAATGATAGACAAACAAGTAATATTATAGGACCATACCTGGCGGTAATTTTATTGCGAAAAATACTACCCCAGCCAGGGTTTAAACCTGGCCCTCCCTACACTCTAGGCGTCTCACCAATTCGACCACTGAGGAATGTAAAAACGGATACAGCGGATACATTATATACTAAAAATACCGAAAATATTAGAGCAATATTCATCGTAATAAACTTTCAAGTGATGCTGCCGAATGTCACACTTTCGTGGCTGTTTTTCGAATCTTAGAACTGCGCGCCAACTTGGTTGGTCGGACAAGACATAATGACAAATTCGAGCCGTTTTATGTGAATAATACAAATAGTAGAGGTCAAACTGGATCTTAGTGCTTATTTATATTTATCTTTCGTATACATCCTTTGTCAGGATACTTACCCCGTGATATCATATTCTTCAATTGTTACGTTATATCGATACGCTGCAAAAGGCAGGTTGAAATGAAACGACGTTTGGTGTATTTGACAGTTTCTTGTTGAATCGACGATTAATACGCAAGTAATATCACAGACGCGAAAAGCGATCGACGCGACCGCCCTTCATTGCTTTTCCGTTCACATTCGCTCTCGGAATAACAATCCGACGGAAATCCAGATACGATTAAGGCGGCTTGTTAGTGAACATAAAATTACAGGCCCTACATAGATTATTTGCTATCTCGGTCCCGTCTCGTCGATTGCTTCAAACTGTCCGTCGGTACTCGTTAAACCAAAAAAAAAATACTATTAGATTTGAGATTTCGTTGGACGACTAGGATCAGTGACACTCGAGTGATATTTTGTCGTATTCCCCGCCGTCGGCTCTCGATAATGATGGCGCGATTTACGATGGGCGATAAATCGATTGAGAGCTAACCAGGAGGAGGTTTACTCGCCGCGCGAAAAAGATCGCGTTTAATTAGTCGGAGCAATCGCTGACTATACGTCACGTGTCACTGTCGTCCGTAACCCCTTACCACATGTATCTTTCTACGCGGAAAAATATGCGGTGTGCAGAGAGGTGTCACAATCGCAACGGTGAAACAGTTAGGAAATTTCAGAGAAAGTCGCCCCGTTTGTGCTCTACATGACACGCGCTACGCGGTAAGAAGTTAATTAGCATATAAAGTTATTACGTTACTCGTCGAATCGCATCTCGCGGCGCGGATCCGAAGAATCCGTTGAATTCCAGCATAAATACGCAAGTATCCCGTCGCGGGGATCTCGTCGATCCCTTAACAGTACGTCGCTCATTACACAAATGTAATTACTGATTTTTCACGTACCACACTTTTGTCGCGGTGCAATACAGTATACATACTTAAGACTCTAATCGCCGGGAACGTCTACTGACCAAGAGCGGTCTGAACGGCTTACAACGCAGACGTGCATATACGTATAAATATGAGTAAGTCAAATTAATAAATCGTGACTGGATCTTCTCTCTTTCTCTCTCTTTCTCTTTCGTTCGCTGTCGTTCTCGTGGAAACGATTTTCCCAACTCCGTTCTCTCCGCAGTAGTCGTCTTCTTCATTTCTATCACGATCGTCATCATCATTATCATCGTTCACGGTCACGTGTCGTCGCCGTTTTCTCCTCCTATCGCTCACCCTCGGCCTAGTTGTACTTGTCGCGAGCCCTCACTGCAATCAGAGGTAAACATCAGCGAGGAAGTTCGCAGACGGTGAATCCGCGGAGATCGCACGCGGTGTTGAAATGCAATGGATGTGGCAATGTGGTTTGCGCGGCTGCTGCCGCAGATACTCACTTTCCATGTAAAGGATCCCGGCGAGTAGACCGACCATGAACAGAAAACTCATGGTGCAGACGAGAACGGTGAGCTGATTTCGCGCGCACCAGGACTTCCTGTAGACGGTGGCCGGTCTGCCGAGACCGTTCACGACCGTGAAGTGGGTGCTGCTGGCCACCGAGGCGGTGTCTAACTGCTTCGGCGCCGTCACCGTGGGCGGATGTATAGCGGCGAAATTTGCCAGATTCGCGGCCGTGAGTAGCAACGTTCCCGACGCGGCGCTCTGTAAGCCGTACCACCGGCAAATTCGATTATATAATATTCCAAAGTGCCGTCCTTTAGACGCGCGAAGCAGAGCTGAACCTGCCATTTTGATATCAGGATACCGACGGATTTATCTTCGCGGTTTAAAACAGTCAGACGCGCAGGGGGCTCGACGAGGTATAACGTAATATAATAGCTCTTCAGGATTCGCGTTGGCATTTCAATCCCGGGCTTTTAAGTTAATCGAAAAGCGGATTTTAATTTTAATTTAAAATCAGGACAGCCTTAATATTCCCGCGAGAGCAATTCGTGCGCTGAAGAGACGAAGATTTACGTGTGTACTGGCGGTGGATCCTTGAGACGACGTCGACCCTCTCGAGGGGGAGTTTGGATGCAAGTGATGAACCCAGCTTCCATTTTCGCTGTCCCTCTCACTGCGCCCGACCAAGGACGGCCTTGGGATATGCCAGGAAAGCGGGTTGGCGGCAGCTACCGCCGTTGTTGTTGTTGTTGCCGCCGCCGCCGTCGCCGCCGTCGTCCCGATCTGCAACCAACGTAAATCGACGTGATGCTTCGATTGCATAAGCAATAATGCCGTGTCGATTGCTGTTCTCTCGCCCGCATGCTCCCCGTCCCGCGACCGCATGCCGTTTATCCGTCGCCAGAAAACGTTACTCTACATACGGCTGCGCGATTAAGCTGCCGCCGGTAAACGCATTAAACGCGCATTTAAACCGGGCTTTTAGATAACAAGATAAAATTTAACAAGCCGTAGAGGTTGTTTTATAGCGCGATTAAATCTGTTTACATGCGCCTCGACGCGAGAGAAAAGTCAACGTGTAGCGTGACGTAATTTCTATCAGCAAATCGGGGAAGTGACTTCCTACAGGCACGTTTCCATGATTTTTACATTTCCCGTGCAAATGTACATGTTTCTTCAGTTTGTTATCCGAGACCTGCTGATCCGGCAGCGAGTTGTCTGGATCATGGATAAACTCAATGACCTGAATATACTTTTGATGACTATATAATTTAACGCAATTTAAAAATTAGTTTAAAAAATTTAATTTTTTTAAATTTCTACTCGGTAAGCCTTAATTAAGAATACGGATTAATATTTTGAAAGAGCCTGATTATGTTTTCTTATGAGGTTCTGATAATATTTCTTTATAAGGCCCCAATAATATTTCCTTATAATTTCCTTATAATCCGGGGCCGAAGCGTTGTAATCGGTTTTTGAATAAAAACATTGTCTAGTGTAGGTCGTTTAATCTTATGAAATTTGGTTTCAAATTACTGGCGATATATAATTACCACTTTTGTTTCCTTACAAGGTTTTTATAAACTATTTGTTACAAACTTTTCAAGGGCTTGATCATTTATACATATTAGGACCCGATTAATATTAAGGAAAATTGATTAGGACTTTTCATAGCCTTATTAATGTTTTACTCGGGTAGGCTCGGGTAGGCTTAAACCTCCTTCAAGCGCTGAATTTTTGAAATTTTCCCTAAAGGGAAAGTACGCGGGACGAGAGCCGGGATCGAATCGAGAATCCTCTCATTACTAGTCATTCGTGTTAGCACAGAGCTACACGTTATTCTGCAGAAATGTATCAATATTATTTTCGAGGTTGATGTGACTACGATTAACTGGGACCTTAGACTACGACTGCATCAAGAGTGTAGAATATATTTTGGTACGTTATCGTCGTCACTACTTGGTACTAATACGTACAGGGTGAAGTATTAAGGTTGTCCCAACCTTTTACCATGAGGGATGGATCACCGACTGCAACTGTAGCCAACTCTAGAAAACATGGAAAATCTCGTCATATCCCTAGTCGAAATTTTGGTACTATTTTGACACTTTTAAGGCTAATTTACACCTACATAGCTGAACTATACACCTACATAGACCACCAATAACCTACTTTGATGACATTATATTTTTTACTCCTCCCTTGAATCTTTAATTCTAAAAAGTCACCTTCTACTTAAAAGGACCTACATTAATGCCAAATTGGCGAAAGTATAAATTTCCGACACTATCAGTTTTAAAGTAGAAGTAAATTTTGCACTTGCAATTCGACCTATTTTATTGTCTTAGGTCCTACTGTATGATAGAATTAAAGGTTCAACATAAAATAAGGGGTTTTTTTCCATTTTTTCCCGGATTGGCTACAGTTTCGATCGATAGTTCATCCCTCATGGTAAAAGATTGGGACAGCCTTAATGATTCACCCTGTAGGTATATCTAGGTTTCGGCCTCACTTTCCATCTATTGAGATCGGTCTCCTGTTTTCATAGGACACATTTACCCGTACAATCTCGGCCATGACACACAACACGTGCTTACTGTTAATTGATTAATCAAGCGTCCGCATCTCTATCGTTGTCGGATAACGCGCGATTTCACTGTGCGGGCCTCGTTCGAGAGACCCGCCGTTCCGTATTTTCTTCATCGAGCGGGTGTTCGGAGCGTTGAGGCAGAGCGGCGGGATATCGCGAAAGCATCTTCTGCTCCCACTCTTCCTTCCTGCGAGAGGAAGATTGACGAGAATTTCGGCGTCTCCCGGGGGCGTGGAGCACCTCGACATTCCGGTTTGATCGTTGCATAACGCTCGTTGCGCTCTCGAATTCCGCGCGCCGCCGTCGCTTCGCGCGTCAAGCCCGCCGCTGTTGTTTTTGCACCGTTTTCGTCCTTCGCGCGGAGAGATGCGAAGAAATTCATCGTCGCCGACCATTGCTCGCTCGCTTCCTTTCCGCGCGTCAACGCGCTCCGGTGTCTTCGCACACACCCGTTATACCTCAAGATTGCGCGGTCGAACAATTCGGCGGCTTCGCGTCGAGAGGACGCGACGTGACGCGCCGCGCTCGCGTACGCATGCCGATTACTCCAGTTAATTGGCCATTTTCGCACGTAAATCAAGTGCATTTCGCATCGGTGTGGCCTACCTTCGCGACCGGGCGCCGTCCAAGGACTGCGCCCGCAGTGAGACCGAATGAGTTCGCCAACGTTCTTTTTCGTCCCCGACGTCGGTTTTTCAGACGCGCTCGCGCGACTCGCTCGTCCCCGACCGGTACGGTAACTCTAATGAAATACTTGCCGCTCCGCGTAATGCACATTCTCGGGCGGCTAAAGAAGATTTAATTGACCGGCACTGGGGCAAGGCGCCAAGTCGTAGTGCAGCGGAGAGAAATCAATGCGAGACTTGCATATTTCTTTACAGCCTTAATTATCATTCCCGTGAAAAATACCTACCTTGCCTTTAGATATGATACATTAAGTTCAAAGGCTACAGGGAAGGATATTAAATCTTCGTAACGATCCGTAACGGTTGTTTTCTTTTTTTTTTCACACCGTCTATTGAATTCGCCTCACGCAGCTTAATGATGTTGACTTTAATTATATACAGATTGTTCCAATTTATCTTAAGTCATTGCTCTCTATACAAACGATCGTGCCAAATTAGGAGTACAAAGAGACAAATTACGACGTTATAAGTGATTAAGTTATTGCAACTGCGCCAAATGTACGTCGTTACTCTGTAACATTGCGCGTCGTCATTTTCATGAGAAACTCTGTTATACTCGTGCCTAACCCTCTCTAACAGAAGAATAAGATTTTATACGCTTTGTTAAGGTTGTTTCGTCATTCCGCCTAAAATAACGAGAACTCTCTGAATCCGAGTAGATTCTGTAGATTTTATCGTAAATAATTTTTTTTTAAGTTTGGTCTTTAGAAAGCTTACTATTGGGAAAATTAAGTAATAAAATTATACGCGTAATTTTAAGGAAAAGAATATTTGTAAAAAGAATATCCGCATTGAACAAAACGCAATTTCATGGCGAGATCGTCACAGTCAATCCGGACAGTGACAAGTACAATTCTTCACGCGTCGATACTTGAAAAATTTTCCGTCGTGCGAGAGCGAAAGGTGGGAGGGATGTAAATAGCAGAATAAGAAGATGAGAAGGAGATAGGGAGAACGGCGACATTTACGTGAGGAGTAGTCGTTAGGAATTTTTGTGGAACTCAATATACCGGTCAACCTCGAAGCGCCACACCTGTGCCAGGCCCATGTAACTTGATACCCTGAAACGGATTTTGAACTCCGTTTACGGAATTTGACTCTGGAAGGTGTCAAATACAATCTTTTCTTTAAAAAAAAGGCGCTGTATAGCACCTGTTTTGATATTAATACATATTTATTCTATTATGGAAATAAAGCAGGACACGGCGACTAGTTTCCTCAGAGACTCTTAAGAATTGTGTGTTTTGATAAAGAGTTTTCTATTTTTTGGAATTAAAATTTTTCAAATCTCTACAAGTAAATTTTAATTTAATATTTTCTAAAGAATTCGAAACAGTGCTTCCAAAATTCTGTCGAGAAGTCTGTACAACAGAACCTGATTCAAATTGAAGTGAAAATGTTGACTTTGAGTTTCGTATCGCACGAGTACAAAATTTAGACTTCGCTTCTTCGAGTCCCTATTTTTTTCTAAAAACGTGACTTTTTAGAAAAAAAAAAACCAACGTTGAAGGTCCCAAAATAAGTTGCTAGTACTTTCTCAGATAGAGACATCAAGATAATGTTAACCGAATTTGCGTAACGTTTGTAAAGAGCAGAGTAGCGTGTCCCGTCTCATTGGTAGTCGAAAAGAGTAATACCGCGCGCGCGGTGAAATTTTGCTCGGAATGTCCTTGGTGTCTGTGTGATTAAGGTACGACATTAAGTTTGATATCGGTGCATGTGTCGGACATTATGAAAATGTACGCTCGGCTCGCGACACCCCATTAATTGCGTCGCCAATCTTTTTAAAGGAGGCACGCTGTGCCTCATTTCCGCCATATCGTCGGACAATTATGTCATCACTGTGCGAGCTTGTCGCACCAACCTTCCGAGAATGCGATAAATACGAATTTCGAGGTGAGCTTTCGTCTATTAATGTGGGCAAAAGTGAATACGATTATCGATTATCGCGTCATTTGGAGCAAGGTTGTTCGCTGCGGAGGAAAAAAAATCTTTCTGTTCTTCATCGGGCCGTGTTAAACGCGAACGCCGCGATCACCGCCGGGACAAATGTCAAATGCCGTAAAACTGCTTGCGCAGTATTAAATGGTTAATAACGGTGGTTATAACGTCAATACCGCATATGGCACCGTCGTAATCATCGTTATTGTCCACCTCTAATGTAAACGTCCTCATTAAAAAACGACGCTTGGTGTACTTGCCATTAACGAAGATCCCTACCGTCGCGTCCCGCGACAGCGGAACGGTAGTGTCCGTAATGAACGTTACGTTACACCGTTTTTTTTTCTCCTATCCGTCGTTCATGGATCTATGAATAATCCATTGACAGTTCGCCAAGTGGACGCCGTTCCTTTTGACGTCCTGTTAATGCAGGCGACACCGAACGACCCACGAGTTTCCTTCGCGATTGTATCGCGTTGCCTCTTTCCTCCCTATTATGTAAGGGTTCTGTAAGAAGAAGCCGACGGCGCGCAAGTTGGAATTCAATATCGCCACAGGGCACATAG